GTTGCTGCGGGTCGCATAAAAGCTTGTGGTGCCACATGTGTCCCGTGGGCCGCAGTTTGGAGACCCTGATTTTGAGCATTTGTGACTTTTGGTATGTCAGTTTGTCTATTACTGTGTGTCCACTTTGAGCTGAAAAGGTAAATTTGTTCCTCTTAAACCCTGCTATTCATTCATTAGTTCTTTCAAAACTCATTTTCCAGACTATATGAAATTAATGTATTTGATTATTTTATTGTATTGATTATTTTATTCAAACATTGCTGAATACTTTTTTTTTTATTAACCCTTTGACTGTTTTCGACGTATAAATACGTCTTACGAGCCAGTGTTTCTGTCGTATATATACTCAATAATTCTAGTGGCTTCAAATCAAGCTGGAGAAAGCTGGTAGGCCCACATGTGAGAGAATGGGTCTGTGTGGTCAGTGTGCACCACATAAAAAAAGATCCTGCAGCACACATTGCGTAATGAGAAAAAAAAACTGAGCGTTTTTTTGGAATAAAACGCCGACTTTGAGGTGTATTTTCGTATAGTATTTATCATTGTATTCGCGTTTTCATGGTCTTAGGTGATAAAATGGAAAACATATTACAGAAATAGAGATGATTTTCATTACTTTGACAATGAAAACTACCTTGAAACTGAGCTCAAAGCAGCGGAAATGTTCGATTTTACCAATGTTCAGGAGTAAATAAATCACACCACACGTCCAATACACGTCAACTGGGGAGTCTAATATTCTTTCACTAGTGCACTGATATTATTTATACCATTTTTACAATAATGCAGTAGTCTGCATAACAGTAAATTTTGTATTTTTTTGTATGAATAAAAAATCAAAATAGAAAGCAATAATAATATAAGAGGGGCCTAGAGATATGACTAATGAACAGAACATATGTTATTTTAGTGCCACGAATGTCTACCTTGTTTATTCTGGACCCTATTTTGAAATTGGCATCTTTTTTAGTTTGCGTGAAATTGGCCAAATTGCCAATTTCTGACCACCATATTGGTAGTCCAAATTAGTAAATGGGAGGTTTCTTGTACTCAGCTGATAGATAAAATGGAGTTCTAAAGAAATAGCTATGAGTTTGGTCAACTGGAACAACGGAATTGGCTGAAAATAGGGCTCAAAGTCGGCGAAATCGCCAATACGCATATGTCGCCGAGACCGCTAACTTCGCGGGAGCATAATTCCATGAGTTTTGGACCAAATTTCGAACTTTTGGTGTCATTACCATCGGGAAAAGATTCTCTATAACTTCATAAGAAAAAATAATTTTTTTTTTTTTTTCAAAAATTGAGCAACATAGAATGACAGTTTCAGAGAGGGGCCTGAAACAGTCAAAGGGTTAAATGTGAACAGTAACATGGAATTGTATCACATATGCTGTTTTGAAAATTAATAATAATAATCGTCGTTGTCATTATCATCATCTTCAAAATAGAAAAAAATGCTGCTGCTGCTGCCACTGCCAATAATCCAGTAATAATAATAATAATAATAATAATTATTATTATTATTATTATTATTATTATCAATATCATTATGAGTACAGCCGCTCCTCACTTAGAGATGTACTCGTTTACTGACAATTCGGACTTACGTCGGGCTCTCTGACCAGTATGCATATCTAAATAATGTATATTAGAGCTGATTTCCTCTATTCCGTTTATTACAATACAGTGGACCCCCGGTTAACGATATTTTTTCATTCCAGAAGTATGTTCAGGTGCCAGTACTGACCGAATTTGTTCCCATAAGGAATGTTGTGAAGTAGATTAGTCCATTTCAGACCCCCAAACATACACGTACAAATGCACTTACATAAATACACTTGCATAATTGGTCGCATTGGGAGGTGATCGTTAAGCGGGGATCCACTGTATACAGTACACTACTGTATAAACATTTAAAATATACCAGAATTGTTATAAATGGTGCAGAGGTAACATTAAAATTAAAACAATATCAAAGATGGCTGACACAAACCCACTATCGTTATAGCATGCTCCTCACTTAGCACTGAATTCGTTTGCCGACAGGGTCTTAGGAATGGAACTCTGTCATTAAGCGAAGAGCTGTATTATTATTGTGTATTATCCTTCCTAGGGATCAAGGCTATGCATACAGTATTTTTTTTTCTGGCTACTATTAACCCATAAATGGTCCAAACGTGTATATACGTTTTTACCGCTAGTGGCCCAAACGTATATATACGTTTTATGTGTCATACATTTAACATTGTCACGATAAGTCTGAGTCGCCTATACATGAGAGAATGGGTGTGAGCACTCACTGTGCAATATTTTTAAATAATTGGGGATGCCTGGGTAACATATGCTCTTTTTTCCTATAAAAAAACAACAATGTTTTTTTTTTTCTCAAAAAAGTTGGGGCAGTAGAGTAGTGAACGTATATATACGTTTGGACCGTTTACGGGTTAATTATGTAATGAATATCTGACAGCATAATATCAGGGACAATGCTACAAGAGTTGTGTTTTAGTTTCATGTCTAAATGTTTAAAAGTTAAACAATACACTAAAAAATGTTGATTTTTAATAATTTCAAAACTTTTCCAAGATTAGAATGAAATGTTATGATTACAATAACCCAATAACACTGGTACACCCTATACAATTTTCAGCAGAATTATTCAATAATTACTATTAAATGCCAATGCTCATGTACTGTTCGTCTCTGTATACAGTACATGTACCTTGAAGTGACTGTTTTTTTTTCATTATTTTTTAACATTTTTTATTTATATTGGGTAAATGGGGGAAAATAGTTACTTCTGTAAAATTTGTACAGGTGTCACTCTCTTTATGCAATAGATACATTCCATAGACATCGCCCAAAGCAGTTCTACTAAGCTCAGAAAAGCCATCAGCACTTCTTTCAACAAAGCACACCAATAATACATGGTGAATTTAATGTCTATCACACTTAACCCATAAACGGTCCAAACTTATACAGTGGTCCCTCAGTAATAGTTGGGCTTGATAGTCGTCCTTTTCAGAAATCGTTGCGTTATTTTAGTCCAAACATTGGCTCGCAAATGGTTCAGTTGACTTGCTAATCGTCGTTTGTCCTGGACGTGTACTCACGGCTCTGAGCCGCCTCGGCCTCCCTTCCCAGCCAGTGGCCATTGTTTACCAGTGAGCGACAGTCCCCTCACGTGTTCATATGAAATATTTCATAATATTCCGTTGTTTTAGTGCTTGCAAGTGCTAAATAAGCTACCATGGGTCCAAAGAAAGCTCTAAGTGCCAAGCCTTTGGTAAAGAAGGTGAGAAATATGATTGAATTTAAGAAAAACATCATTGAACAATATGAAAGTGGCATACGTGTGGCCGAACTGGCCAGGATGTATAACAAATCCCCTACAACCATATCTTCCATCATGGCCAAGAAAAAAAATCAAGGAAGCTGTTGTTGCAAAGGGGGTAAATATGCTGACAAAAATGAGATCACTAGTCTTGAAGAGGTTGAGAAGTTATTATTGGTGTGGATAAATGAGAAGGAGGAAGGAGGAGGAAGAGAGATGGAAGAAGGTGCCTTCTTCAGAAATTAAGGAGATTTTTGCAATGTGGGGTAGAATGGAAAGATTTATGGAGAAACATCACCCTGAGAAGGATGTTGCAAGCCATATTGGCAGCTTGTACAGTGACAGAGTCTTGGCCCATTTTAGGGAAGTTTTAAAGAGATGCCAGAAACAGAGCTCTTTGGACACTTTTTTTGCGAGACAGGACTCCAGTGACTCTCAAGCGGGTCCTAGGGGCATTAAGAAACAGAGAAAGAAGTAACCCCAGAAAAGGACTTGGTACCTAAGGTGTTGATGGAAGGAGATTCCCCTTCCAAACAGTAACTAATCCAATCTCTCTCCTCCTCCGGTCTTCCATACACTAAGAAGAATCGCCAATAAAGGTAAGTGTTATGCTCTTAATGTTTCATTCATCATGTCCCAGTGTATTGTTTATGTACTACATCTATATTTCATGTAAAAAAAATTTTTGTTTTAATACTTCTGGGTGTCAGAAACGGATTAATTGTATTTACATTAGTTCTTATGGGGGAAATTGATTCGAAAATCGGCTTTTTCAATAATCGTCGCACTTCCAGGAATGGATTAATGACGATAAACGAGGGACCACTGTATATACATTCACTACCCCAGTGCCCCGAATATTTTGAAAAATAAAAAAATCTTTTTTTTTTTAATGAAAATAAAGAGCACATTTTTCTAAGTGTTATAGGATAAAAAAAAAAAGTTAGGGCCAGTACTTACAGAGATATGAGGCCGAGAAGTTGGCACTGGATGCTCACATAATTACAGTTTATAGTAGTTCTTGTCATTTTATAACTAATCTTTGTTCTGACACTAGTATTAGGTACTGAAATTGTACTCACATTGTAACAAACACAGTGACCATTGGACATTTACACCTGCCTTGGCCATTTACTATTGTCTTGGAATATATACAAAGTATTTATAGTGAAGGGATTCAGGGAAACCGGTTATTTTCATATAGTCGGACTTGAGTCCTGGAAATGGGAAGTACAATGCCTGCACTTTAAAGGAGGGGTTTGGGATATTGGCAGTTTGGAGGGATATGTTGTGTATCTCTATACGTATATGCTTCTAAACTGTTATATTCTGAGCACCTCTGCAAAAGCAGTGATAATGTGTGAGTGTGGTGAAAGTGTTGAATGATGATGAAAGTATTTTCTTTTTGGGGATTTTCTTTCTTTTTTTTGGGTCACCCTGCCTCGGTGGGAGACGGCCGACTTGTTGGAAAAAAAAAAAAAATTATAGATCCCAGCAATGTTTTGGATATGTGGAAGTATATAATAATAATGAGGAGGAGGAGAAGGAGAAGGAGGAGGAAGAAGAGGAGGAGAAGAAGGAGGAGGAGAAGGAAGAGGAGGAGGAGGAAGAGGAGGAGAAGGAGAAGGAGGAGGAGAAGGAGAAGGAGGAGCAGGAGGAGGAGGAGGAGAAGGGGGAGAAGAAGAATACGTAATAATAGTAATAGGTAATAATAGTTCCCTTGAAGCATGAACAACAAAATCCACCCCTGACAATGACATGATAAGATGAGATAACATCTGATAAGAGCTGACATTTGATGAGCATACACAAGGGTGCAGTGATAACACTTGATAAGAAAAGATTAGAAGCATCACCCTCATTTGTTTTCAATGGTACACAAACATGTCTGTCAAGCTCCCTATCTGTCTGTCTGTCTATCCGTCTAGCTCTCTGTCTCAGAGAGAGCCACAAGACTGGGTCGTCACCTTTACTCATATCTTCAAGCAGAGTATAGCACTTTGTCTGGATTTTTTGGGTTATCCTAGGTAATTTACACTATGTATACTTGTATTTATGTGTACCTGTGACACAGAGATAGATGGAAAGAGATAGAGATAGACAGGGATAGACAGAGGCAGATAGACAAAGATAGAGACGAGAGACAGACAGAGATAGACATAGATACAGACAGACAAACGGAGATAGAGCCAGGCCAGCAGCCGCCAGCCACGCAGCTGGCCAGCCAGAATTGTTTCTCTTTACTTAGGGCATAGGTTATAAGACATTCTGAAAGGGTGTTGCACAAATATTGCACATGGGTTATTATCGAGATTTTTTTATATTTCATCAATATGAAATCAGTGAATTCCAGGTGTTTGCTGTGCTGTTTGCTCTAGCTGGCTCTCATTTGAACTGGTGCTCCCACAAGGTATTAAGTGGTCCCAGATTTTTTCAATAGTGCACACTGAATGGTAGGACCCATCCTATGCTGACAAGGCATTTCAGGCCAGTCGTGCCAAATTTGAAGGCAGGAAAAATAAAACGTATATATACGTTTGGGGCACTAGTGGTAAAAAACGTATATATACGTTTGGACCGTTTACAGGTTAAAGGATTAACAGTACAAATGGTCATAGCATAATAACAAATTCACTTAAAGCGAACTTGCATTAAGAAAAGGGAACCTACTGGGTATATATACTGTAGAAGATAACTATAACAACTTAAAGGCTGTCATACATTTATGCCTGCAGAATGTACACAGATAAATGTTGTTATGATTATTATTATTATAATAATTACCATATTTTCATTGTTATTATTGCCATAATTATTTGTTATTATATTACAGTATTATTATTATTATTTTTATTGTTGTTATTATTACATACAAATACTGCACTATGCATATACATGTACTGTACTGTATGCTTGACCATTACTCTTTAACAGATTTATGGCAAATTGTATCCTGTTTGCATGAACTTAGTGACTGAGGTAGCAGTGTTTGGTAAAGCAGTGAGTAATGGAAGCAGTGACTCTTGTGGACAGACACCTTCCACAGCATTAATAGTCTGTGCCTCTGGATCAGTTAAGGCTGCCCACTCAAAACTACCCGGCTTCCTGGTCACCCTTTGTCATGTAGCTCAGCCTGTAGTCTGGACTGGAATTATGGAAGGTATGCAACAATGAAAGCTGGAGATTTGTATTGTATTTTAAACTTGAGGATCTAGACATTTTTAATGTAGAAATGTCTGTTTGGCTGGCATTTGTGCAATAAACACTTTGTTGAAGATGATTAACATGGAAGCAAGGTAAAGACCATTTTATGGATTAGGTTTTTAGGTTACATAAACTTGTGAAAATGTTGAAGAATGAGACACTTGTGCAACATTTGGGAATCTTAATTACAGAAACGTTGCATCAGCGATTAAAGAGAAGAATGGTGGAAGATGAGAAGCTTGAAGTAATCAGTCCCTCAGCCTGGAGTCAATGTGTTCAGTCCATCAATCTTGAAAAAAGTGCAGCGCATGCCCAGAGAAGTGGCTTATTTACAGTAGCAGGTGAGTTAAAGCAGCAAGAGGCAGTGTCAACCAGTGGAAAAATCCGCTAGTGTAAACAGGTAATGCCTATAGGTTAGGCAAGAGTTGAAGAATTCCCTGCATCAGGATCCCAAGATGTTGCTGTGTCTGACAGATATGATGTTAATGGGCTAAACACATTGGCTCCAGGCTAAGGGAATGATTACCTCAAACTCCTCCTCATCTTCCACTGTTCTTCTCTGTAATGGACTGAAGAAGCCACTGGCCAGCAAAAAGTTTCTGCAATAAAGATTCCCAAATGTTGCACAAGTGTCTCATTCTTCAACCTGTCAGTTTTCTAAACCATTTACATCATATCTGTCAGACACAGCAACATCTTGGGATCCTGATGCAGGGATTCTTCAGCTCTTGCCTAACTTATAGGCATGACCTATTTACACTAGTGATTTTTCCACTGGCTGACTCTGCCTCCTGCTGCTTCAACTTGCTTATCTACAGTATATAAGCCACTCACTGCACATATGTTGTATGTACTTTTCTCAAGATTGATGGACTGAACACATTGACTCCAGTCCAGGCAGAGGGACTGATTACCAAAAACTCGTACTCAGCTTCCACTGTTTCTTCTCTGTATGGAATGAAGAAGCCACTGGCTGGCAAAATGTTTCCGTAATAAAGATTCCCAGGTGTTGCAGTTATCTCATTCTTCAACTTATTGGTTTTCTAAACCATTTGCATCATATCTTTGAAAATGTATATTTGACCACATATAAGGAAACTGAAATGAAATGAATGCAACATGCCTAGCAATGTGATTCAGTATCTATTTATGTTTGGGCAGCTGGCTGGCTGTCTGTGAAGTGGCCTTAGCCTATTAACCAACTATGTACTGCACAGTTTCTGCTTTACACCACACATACACACACACACATCTCTTAATAACATGTAACTCACCTGTAGCTTGCAGGTCAAGATGTATGAATGTCTCATTACACCTGTCAGTGACCCTGGCTGAGGAGACTAGTCTAACATCAGCAGTTCAGCATCCACTGCATGAAGTTCTAAAGGCAGCAACTTGTTGATAGGTCAGATGGTCTCATTGCCATTTATATTAATCTTCACCATCTTAAGTCATCCTGCTTTATCTTGGTGAATTGAAAATACTGGAGTAAGAAGTCACTTAGCCCTAGACACACAAAAAAAAGGGACACAGGTACAGTATAATGCAATCCTTCATTGATGGCAATTTGCCCCCACACTGGCTTTATCAAGTTGCAAACTGATAAATTTGAGGAGAAAGAATGACCCTATATGTAGGGAGCATTGTGACATGAAGAGCCAGGTTACGTATATTAAAACTAAAACCTTGGGTAGCTTTAAAAACAGGTTGGAGAAATACATGATTGGAAAGTGTGTCATTGGGCATACTGCAGTACTTCTTCACATTTGTATATATTATGAATACCATGTGGGGAAACCACTCTGGAAATTTCCTGGCAAGATATCTATTTCCCACTTAACCCTTTGACTGTCGCGGTCGTATATGTACGTCATGGGAGATACCGTGTTTGACGTATCTATACGCATAAATTCTAGCGGCTTCAAATCGAGCGGGAGAGGGCTGGTAGGCCTACACGAGAGAGAATGGGTCTCAGTGGTCGGTGTGCACCCTGTGAAAAAAATCTGGGACTCAGCGGTGCATTGTGGGAACGCCATCTTGGTAGTCCATTTTCACCATGCCTCGCGGTAAGAAGTTCCTCACTCCTCGGCGGATTGGAGGTCTTTTGTTCCCAAGTGGTAGCTCAAACAGTGATGATAGTGTCAGTGAAAGTGAATTCCATGGTTTTGAAGCGGGGTGTGACCAAGAAAATTACCCAGGATAACATAATTAGTGATGAAAACCCAGATGACCCACAACCATCCACCTCTGGTGCTGGGCCGCTCGTTCATATTCACCTGTACCAGGACGAAAGAGGAAACTATTTGCCCGTGTACAAGACTCAGATGTGAGCAGTGCAAGTGATAGTGATAGTGATTTCAAGGTTATTGAAAGCACTTCTAGTTGTGACAGTGAGGGTGAATATTCCCCAGTGAAACGGCAGTATGTACGACGTCGAAATGCGGTCTGGTAGTGTGCCATATGCTCTTCCAAGAGGAAGGAGTACATCTCGGAGCACATCCCGTGGCCCTACACCACGTCCTGATAGTGAAGATGACGATATTGTTACGATGGGTATAAATGATGTGAGTGAGGCAGCAGGCGGTGGTGGTGATAGTGACGGTGCCATGAGTCATGTGACACCAGCAGCGGGCCACGCTAGTGCCCGCGCTGCTGACTCTGCACAACTACAACCTGCTTCGGCCGACCCCAACACTCTCACAACCACAACCACAACCTGCACAACCACAACGACATTACAATATCCAGAACGCACCAGCTGACCGCATCTGGGATTGGCATCAAGATGACGAGTTTGTTCCCAATCCCCATGACTTTGATGAAGGACAAAGTGGAATACGGCCATCATGTACACTTGGGAACAATCCCACTGAACTGGAATGCTTTCAGTTGTTCTTCGATGAACCCCTGATGGACATTATTGTCAGGGAAAGCAATACATACTATGAGTACACCATGGCAAACACTATTCTGTCACCAAGATCACGCCTACACCAGTGGAAGGACACAACTGTGGCAGAGATGTATCTGTTCTTTGCCACAATAATGCTTATGCCACATGTGTATAAGCATAGTGTCAGCACATACTGGGCGACAGACCGCCTGATTTCAACCCCTGCTTTCAGTGACATTATACCAGTGAATAGATTTGTGTTACTGTTACGTATGTTACACTTTTCAGACAAAACCAGGCCTGACAGAAGCAACAGGTTATATAAGATCAGACGTGTGTTTATGTACCTGAAACAAAAGTGCTGTATGTATTTTTTATCCCTTCAGGAAGCTTGTTATTGACGAGTCTTTGATTTTGTTCAAAGGAAGACTCTCATTCAAGCAGTATATACCAAGCAAGAGGAAACGCTTTGGTATAAAGTTATTTGTTCTGTGTGATTGCAAAACTGGTCTGGTTTTGGATATAATTGTGTACACTGGCGGTAAAACAATGGAAGATACCAGGAAGTTACTGGGTATCTCTGGTGATGTGGTTAGAACAATGATGGAGCCATATCTTGGTAAGGGGCATATTTTATATACTGACAACTGGTACAAAGCCCTATACTCAGTGATTTCTTGCGAGTGAACATGACAGATGTGTGTGGCACAGTGCGTAGAAGTCGTAAACATATGCCTAGGTTCGAAGCTGGCAGTCGTAGAGGTGAAGTGCAGGTGTTTGCTGCCAATGACATCATGGCATTTCGGTGGCATGACAAACGTGATGTCACACTGGCAAGCAGAATAGAGAGACCAAAGAACCTATTGTAAAACCTGCAGCTGTGATGGATTACAACCTCAATATGCGCTTAGTGGACAAATGTGACATGCAGATTGGGTTTGCTGACTGTGTTCGCAAGAGTTATAAGTGGTACATAAAACTGTTTTTCCATCTTCTTGACATTTCCATGCTGAATGCTTATAATATGTATAAGTTGAAGACCAAGAACAAACCCAAATATGGTGAATTTTGTTTGTCAGTCATCAGACAAATAATATTCAAGTACCAAGAAACAACACCTGCAATAGACCACGCCCACGAAATTATCAACACATGTCCTCTCGTCTGAGGCCTGGTGATCACTACCCCATACCACTGCCTGCTACTACTGCCAAGAAAAATGCTCAGAAGAGGTGTTTTGTCTGTGGACATACCACAAAACGCCAACAAAAACGCAGAGACACACGTTTTATGTGTGAGGAGTGTAAGACACCATTGTGCTTATACCCATGTTTCAAAGAATTCCACAAGCTGCAGCACTTCTAATAAAGTGTCCAGTGATTGTACATATGTATATATATTATAAAGCAATCGTAATAAACATTTGTTTACATTGTTTGTTTGTGTAAACAAGTTTTAGCAACATTATAATGATACGAGTGTTTTTGCTATAATTGTGTTACATTCAACGAGTGTATATTTGAACATTGCACAATAATTTGGTCTCACAGGCCACAAAAGTTATGTGAAAAATAAAATAGTGAAAAAAACAAGAAACCATCGAATACAAGTAAATAAAAGTTTACCGGGTGAGCGGCAGTCGCCGCTGTTGCCGCCAGCAGATCAATTTCAGCAAACTTCAGGACTCTATATCTCGGTAAGTACTGATGGGAAAAATTTTTTTTTGGGACTAAAACAATCAGAAAAATAATCTTAACATTTTCATAAGAAAAAATAATTTTTTTTTTTTCGAATATTTTGCGACACCAGAAACAACTTCAGGATTTGGCCCTTCGACAGTCAAAGGGTTAATAACATAATATACAAGTATGAAGGAGCTCTGCAGTAGGTGCATTGCCCCACTTCTAAGTCATATATTTGTCTAAAAGCTACCCATGGTTTTAGCTTCAAGCTTCAGCATACCTAACCTGACTCTTCACGTCTCTATGCTCCCTATATATAAAATCATCCCTTTTCTCCAAGTTTATCCATTGGTGACCTAATAAAGGTAACTGTGTTGGCAA